CACCACCACTAACCCTGTCCCCATTAAATATCTATCCATGTCAAAATCCCTTCAATATAATCCATACTCTTAGTCGAGCACTAAATTAAGTTTTGTTTGATATTTTTAGAAACAACCACCACTGTTCTATATTTCCATGTTGTCTCTCTAACCACTTTATCTTCAATTGCATTCACTATTATAAATATTAAATAAACTTGTTCCAATAAGAAAACAAGGAAGAAAAAATATATAAAAAAAAAGAGTAAATTCATTTTATTTGAAATCTAAAATGATTGCGCGATGCACATGAAATAAAACCGTGGATCACATTTTAAAAAACTTTGTCAAACATTAAAACTAAGTTATTTGGTTTTTAAGCAAAATTAAAACCATGCTAATGATGAGTGTGTGGAAACAAGTAGGTTTGTACTTGACTCACATGCATCAATGTGACCCAAACAAAATGAAGTAAAACCAATCTGTCTCTTTATTTTTTTTAATAAGAATTAAAGAAAAAATTAACTTTACAAATTATTATATCTAATAACTTTATTTATTTTTATAATAACTATTTTAAAATTACATCTACCATTTATCTTAATTTGTTTATAAATTAAAATATGTAATATGATATTATTTGCCTTGAACTGTTAAAGTGGGCTCTTAGGAAGGGTTGGGTGTGAAAATCAATGTCCTGTAATTAATTGAATTCCAATTGAAATATAAAGCACAATGGAACTTTTCGATACCGTAATCAAGAGACCTAGAATGAAGAAGAAGAATATAGAGAATGAAAGAAAGTACAATATTTAATGAATAAATATCTGTATAGAACATAAAGTTCTTTCTCCCCATTCTTTTGTGCTATTTTTGGTGTAGTCTCACCTCATTTTCCTTATGACTCAAGTACTTTTGAAAAGATTATATACATCTAACAAGTTAACCATGACCACCCATTACAAACCAATACAAGCCACCCAATCAAAATTATAGTCTTAAAATAAAAATATTGGACTTTGTCTGTCATCCCATATTTTATCCAATACGAAAACTCGCATAGTTTATAATTGAAGGCAAATAGTTTATATGTAATCTTCACAAAATTATATTGAAACGTTTTATAAAAACAAAATTGTGACATATGAAAATTTTAAAATAAACAATTAGAATATTCTTATTTTTAAATGAACACGTAAATTTCTATATTTTTATATATAAATAATAAAATTTAAAATTCTTTAAAAATTAGATGTTGGTGAACATTTGTTCTAGGCATATCCATCTTATCTCTCACAGAGCCATGTGAAGATTGTTGAGTTGCCCATGTTTTTAGGTTTCCTCTACCCAAAAACTAGAGGTCTAAATTCTCTGATGGGATCTGCAAAGATCAATTTTATGGCCCAGACAGAGTGAAACCCCAACCCCAAAAAGCTATAGGGTCATGTGATCCTACCTATCTAGGAAACAAACCTTGTCATAAATACTTCAAGAGATGGATAAAATATGTTCTTAATAATTTACACATTATTCAAACATGCTGGTAAAATTTTATCTTAATAATAGTGTACATGAAAAGTCAAACTGAATACTACTTATGCCAACAATTAGATAAAATTTTGTTGAAGCCACTTCAATTTTAGTGGCGTGTAGGGTTTGAGAATAATTAATGAGGTTAAAAAATAAAAATATTGAAGGGATGGGGCAAAAGAGAGATCCGAAAGTGTAGGGTAGGGTGAAGGACATAAGACAGATCTGGCTGAGATTTGTGCTTGTGTTGTTATTGGCTTGAAAGTTTTATGAAGGGTACGTGTCGCATATGGCATCAAAATTTTTTATTTCTCCAACTAACAAACAAACAACTTGTCCTAAACCCTACAACAATTGTGGCTCACAATTATTTGTTAACTTTTATATTTGGAGGAGTTACTACTTTTCAAAGCAACCCTTTCTTTTTCTTTGTTAAACCTAGTAAGTACCCATGTCTAGATACTTCCTTCCTAAATTCTTTTCCAGAAAAAAAAAACAAAATAAAAAACATGTTCTTTCGTAATATATATAGATGATGGTGATGACGATAACTCTCTCACAAAATCTCCCAATAATTTATCTGAATATTAATCAATTGATTATATGGTATATAAATGTGAATAATGAAAAGAATTATGAAATAAATATAAAAGGACGAATAATCATTAGTTAATGTTTAATTATGTATATTTAATGAGATATTGAAATTTTGATTTTGGAAAGCTGAGGTGGCAATAAAGCGTAGAGACCACACCATGGAATCACATTCACATATATCATTTGTTTTTGGTGCTTCTAGATATTTCTTCGTTTCTGAGTAACATTTTTTTCTCTATTAAACTGTGTTTCAAAATTTACAATTTATTTAAATTGATGTGGTTAACGTTAAGATAGATTTATACATTAATCATTTTTTAAATTAGTTTATAAACTGGCTTAATTTATTCTAACTAGTTAATCAGGTGGACCTCATAATTAAATAGCTTCAACTTATTCACTTAAACTAAATACTCACCTTAAGTTCGTTTACCTTTTTTATTTTATCTAACTTAATTCATCAAATACTTATATAAATAAAACCTTCATTGGACTTGAGTCTCATTTAAAATATGTATGAAAGCGTATTTATATATTTATTTAAAAGTTGAAGTGTTGTTTAGATTTTAGTGGTTCATGGGTGTTACTGTGTCTGGATTTTTCTTGACGTTGCAAGTTCCTTACACACCAAACCTTTGCTTGCACCACGCGCTATGCTTCTCATAAGTTCATTCTTTTGAAAATGAGATTGGATTATCCAATTCAACTCCTCTAATAGTAGATTCTTTTAAAAATCATTTTTTTAATATGATTTTTTTATAAAATATATAATATACTTTAATTTTTTTTATTTTATATTATTTATTATTGTATTTTTGTAAATCTCTTATCTCTTAGACTTGAAATTTAAAATAGTGTATATATTTTTTCTCTAAACGTAGGACTAGAGATTTATTATATTTATTTTATATATATTTTAATAAATTTATTTTATATTTATTATATTATAAAAATATTATTTTATTAAATTTAATTAAATTATAAATCTTAAAATCATATTTTTCAGCAACTGATTTTTAAGTTATTAAATAAGCAAGTAAAAAAAAGTATATTTATTAATAAAATATGAATTCACTCCACGTTACAAGTAAAAATGGCTTAATAATAATTACATCATTAAAAAATTAGTTCATGAGAAAAAGTTACTATGAAGTTTTTATGATCATAATTAAAATAATATAATTAATAATATTTAATTGCATATTTGACCGGATTATGGACTATATAATATCCACATCTTCTGTCGTAATAATAATAATAATAAAGAAAACTATCTGCAATTTATGTCACAGTTGTAGGAACGTTTGTGGCCTCAAAAATTAACATTTCTTTACCATAAAAAAATAAAATAAAAAATCACTGTGTTTGTCCAATGTTAAATAATGGGTAAGATTTTGCTGGATCACGAGTGTTTTTGTTGGATTATGTCCTGTACAAGCAAACACCATTAATTTAGTTTATTAGAGTCAGTGACTGTAAGATAATATATTTTATATTATGTTATTTGATAATTAAATAATTAGTCTTTGATTCCAACTAATTGTATTATAATTAATATCAACTAAGACAACCACCAATGGACTGATGACTCACTCACATAATTAATGTGTTAAATATTAACTCATGTCATTAAAAATATTATTGTCTTTTAATAATAAGAACATCAACTACTTTATAATGTTTTTTATGCCAATTTTTTTTTCAATTATTTTATCTATTATCTCAATTATTTTTCTTTATTAAAAACACTCATAATCCCTATTTGTTTTCAACATGTTAAGCATAATAACAAAAAAATGTCTTTATTTTATGTATTTCTAAATAAAGAAGTTGAAAAATCAAGATACATATTCACCCTAGAATATAAATGAAGAAAGTAAAAAATTGATTATGTTTGTAAATTTTAAATTAATATATTTTTTATTCTTTTGTTAGTATAATAATAAATAATTAAAAATATTAAAATAATCAGTAAAATTATTAACAATAAATAAATTTATATGACTTTATAATTTTTTTATTTTTTTCATTCAAATAATTTCACTTCTTATTCTCTTCTCTTTGTTTTATTTACTCAAATTTACTTATTAACTTAAATACAAGTTTAATAATTTATCATTCATTTATTTAACATTATTACAAACATAGTAAAAACTAATTTGTTTGACTCTAAGTTAAGTGAGTTGAAAAAGTCATTTTCATAATAGTAATTTTACTATTCAAGTATCTAACCTCATTAACAAAACTTAGTCTATATTTTTAGTTAACCTTTTAATTATTATTATAATGAAACCCTAGGTAGGTCTAACAGTGGGATTCACGCGTTGCGATTGGAAGGACACAAGCAAAAATGATAATAAGTAAAAAAAGCCACACTAAAAAACAATAATAATAAAAATCTTATTATAATAAAAATCTTTTCAATTATCTCTCCAGCACTCATGTCTTCCACAATAAAATCTGCAGCACCACATTTTCCACCAATTTTTTATTTTTATTTTGTTCAGTAAAAATTAAATAGCAGATATCACAAGCACTCGCCACGTGTCTTTGGGTCGGAGCGTTCTCAGCCACAAAATTTTAATGCCTTCTCGAATCCTCCATACAAATTTATTTTTCTTTTATTTTTACTTCCAAATTATTTTCTTAATCTGACGTGTCACTCTGTCCTTTTTTCCTTTTCTATTTTTTATTTTTATTTTCGTAATTTATAGTCTCTCTCTTTCTCTTTCTCCTCCCCCCTTCTCTGCTCACACCTTCTTCCATTGCTCTCTTCCAATTCTCGCCTTGATTTTCTCGGAAAATTATTTTCCGAGAAAGTTTGCATCTTTACTGTTGAATCGAGATTCCCAAATCGGGGTGTCTGAAAATCAGAGGTATTCACTGTTCTCTATATGGTGTGTGTGTGTTTGGAACAAGACCAACATACTTCGGATTCAGTTCTTCACGTGTTTTTGACATTGGTGGTTGATTGATCTGATTTGAGCATTGGCTCTTGTATTTCTATTTTGAAAATAAAAAGTTGAGCTGTTTAATTTTGGCATCTGAGAGAGAATATGGAACAGAGAAAGTGAAGAGATTATGAATAATGCTCTGCGAATTTTATTTTTTTTCCACAAAAGTTCACTTTTTTGTTGGTGTGGTTTGATTGGTGACAGCTTTTGTTGTGGTTGGCTGCTGGGGTTAGTCTCTGTGGAGGTTTTGGGTGTTTTCTGAGGCAGGGCTGGCTCTCATTTTGCACCAATGGAGATGCAGGTATAACAAGAACAGTCCAACCTGCCACTTTTCTAGAACACCCTTTGATTTTTGTATTTTTTTTTTTAGATTAGAAACATGGAACTAAGTTTGATTTTTTTTTTTTTGTGTGTGTGTGTTGCCAGTCTTCTATTTGTGTAGAAGTTGTGGTTCATATTGGAATTTGTTTGGAAAATGGATTGGAAAACTCTTAGATTTATTCATTCAATTGTATATCTCTTCAAACAACAAAATGAAATGGTGTTTAAGTCGTGGTTGATCAGCATTTAAGTTGCTGTACCATGATGGTTTTGTAAACTGTGAAGTTCTTTAAAATTTCAAGTTTATTGGCTTCTATTTTTAGAGATACTGCTTAGATTAATGTTTGATCTGGCCCTCTTAATTCACAATTCTTGAACTGCTTCGAGATTTTATTCTTATGAGGGAAAAGATAGATGTGTTTCCTCGGTGACATCTAAAAATATAAGGGGTTTCTGAATCATGGGTACATCTTTTTTGTAATTGGGTCATTTTTAAAAATTAGTTATGTGACTTGGATAAGACTCTAATATAAGTTGGTTTGGCTTGGTGGGGTATGGTTTGGCATGCCTTATGACCATTTTTTGTTAACTATAAATTGATTGTTCTTCGGTTATGATTAGGGACTTTTTTTTTTTTTTTTTCCGTTTCTGTTTCTCTTTACTCAATCGGATCCATTCATCCTTGTGAGGTGTGAATTTGTTAATTCCTTATATTGTAAATGTTTCGCAGCAATTGATAAATATTTTATTCTATTTATGCTAGTTTTGGAATTTATGCGTTTTGAAACGGATATTAATGGACTTGTTCTTTTAGTATGCGGAGATTGTCATATCCCATGCATGTATCACTTGTTTTAAGTTGCAGTAGTTATAAAAGAGAGTCCAAAGAACCTTGATGTGTTGAGTAATTGCAGATAAATGGAGTTAATGTCATGTAATTGCAGTTTTGAACCATGATTTAAATCCTAATGTGTCAGTCTGTCGGGTATGGAAGTCATATCCATAACCATGCAATGATGCAACATAGTAGATAACTTTAACTCCTCCATTCCCCTTACAAGTTTTGGACGGGAATTACATAGAAGAGACCGTGTTGGCTTCAGCTGATTAAGTTTCATATGACATTATTAACAGTGTTTTCACTAGAATGTAAATGGATATTTGCTTTGGTTTATGTGTATAGTTGCATTGGTTAGCATTTGTGTTTGGAAGAGATGACAAATAAACATTTTAGACTCTATATAATATGGTGCTGCTTGATTGGAAGCAGGTCTCAATCGTCTTGCGTTCAATCTTATGGAGACTTTTCTCCTCTTTTAATAGGAAAAAAGAGAATTTCATTATGAATTCATCCAGTGACTTTATTTCTTAAAAGGAACTGAAATATATTCTAGTGAGCATCATTTTCTTTCATGATGAAACTATCCATATCTTTTTCCTTTATACCCATCTTTCATTGAAGGAAAGTTATCAATTCATAAACTACTATTGATGTAGGATCAAATAGAAAGCACTAGATCAACCATATTTGGCTCAGCTAGCAACTTCCATTCAAATGGTGGAAGAGAATCTGAAAATGTTGCTCATGTACCTTCTGTTGGAAACAGCCATACTCCCAAGGTTGCTTTACTTTACATATTATAATATTCCTTCCCTTTTCTTTAAGCTATAGGGCCTTCTTGTTCCACTTTTAGTTTTGGTTCCTGATACTTCTTTCAATTTTCATCAGGTGAGGAAACCATATACCATTACTAAACAAAGGGAGAAGTGGACAGAGGAAGAACATCAAAAGTTCCTTGAAGCTTTGAAATTGTATGGTCGCGGGTGGCGCCAAATTGAAGGTAAACCCTTTTTTGCGTTTGTCTGAAACAAATAGATTTTTTCAATTGTCTCTAAGTCAGATGAAAGTCATTTTCTCTTCATGCAGAGCATATAGGTTCCAAAACAGCTGTTCAGATTCGAAGCCATGCTCAAAAGTTTTTCTCTAAGGTTAATACTATTATTATGTATTTTAAATTTCAGTAAATAATTTCTACTGGGTGCATGTAGGCTATTAACAAATAATTTAACTTTGATTGTTCTATAGACTTATTTCTACTATAGGGAAAGAAATTTGATCATTTTCAATTTAATAGCATTGAAGTTAGATGAATTTGTTCACTTCTGTATTCTCAAGCATCACACTCTACTTGGTTTCAGGTTGTGAGGGAATCTGAGGGAAGTGCTGAGAGTTCTATGCAGCCAATTAACATACCTCCTCCTCGACCTAAGAGGAAACCCCTCCACCCATATCCCCGGAAATCAGTTGATGCTTTTAAAGGACACACCATACCAAATGAGACAGAAACATCTCAATCCATGAACCTGCTAGTTGCTGAGAAAGACACCCAATCTCCAACCTCTGTGCTATCTACGGTTGGTTCAGAAGCATTTGGGTCTGCATTTTCGGAGCAGAATAATAGATGTCTTTCTCCAAACTCTTGCACCACTGATATTCACTCAGTCAGCTTGTCACCTGTTGAAAAGGAAAATGATTGTATGACATCCAAAGTATCTGAGGAAGAAGAGAAAGAACCACCAGCTTCAGTTCCTTTATCCACTGTTTCTAACCCAAACATGTGCATAGTATGATAAGCATCTTGACTTCTACGATTTATCTTTTGAAACAAGTTTATGATTGAGGATTTGTTTAGACGAGTTTCTGCATGAAGATTTTTAGGAGAGAAAATAAGTCATACTGACGTTAAATTAATTTATGCATAAACTAATCTATAGAAGCTATCTCATTTAACTTTTTAAAATTTTTGTTTTTAATTTGTGCATAAGTTAATTTTTGTTTTTTCTTCATATTTTTCTCTGAAAAGCTTGTCCAAGTATTGTGGTTAAGGTTATACTAATTTTCAAGTTCTCTGGTGTTACTGCAGAAGCCCGAGTTTAGTTTCAAGGAAGCTGAATGTGTTACAGAAGATTCTGCCAATATGGCACAAACCACAAGTATTAAGCTTTTTGGAAGAACAGTCTCTATGGTAGATAATCAGAAGTCGCAAAACGTATATAATGTTGGTAAGGCAATAACTGTGAAGTCCGATGAAGTGAATGATATTGAGAATGAGAAGCCTGGCCAATCAACCGAGCATGTAGATACACAATTATCACTAGGCTTGGTTAGTGGGAACTGGCCCATGACACCTGATGCTGATGGAGCTGATCACAGCAAAGAGCCACCGAAGGAGGACATGTGGCTCAGTGAATGTGCACCTGACCCATCTTTTCCAGAATGGAGTTTGTACCAAGGCCTTCCAGCTTTCTGCGTCAGGCCATGCAATCAGCTCCTAAATCCCTTGCCTCTTAGGCCCTCAATGAAAGTAAGAGCAAGAGAGGAGGAAAGTTGTTGCACTGGTTCCAACACTGAATCAGTTTGTGACATGGAAAACCAAGGCAAGAACACGGATGTTGTTGATTCTAAGTGTGAAAAATATCAAGGGGAAGATGCTGCACCCCAGAATCCTGCAAGAGGGTTTGTACCATATAAAAGATGTTTAGCTGACAGAGATGGAAATTCTTTAATTGCGTCCTTGGAAGAGAGGGAGGGGCAACGAGCTCGTGTGTGCTCATAGCCTTCCTCTCTATTTTTACATGATTCATAATCATGGTATTAGATAAATCAACTGTGAGAAATAAGGACCTGATTTAGGTAGTTGTGATCTAATTGTCTAATTGACAAGCATTTGATTTCCAATTCTTTTTTCCAATATCTTTCTTCTTCCACGTGAAAATATATCATGTCCAATAATTCATGCGGGGGCTGGTGGCATTATTTGTTCTAGCTTGTATCATGTTACAGTTTACTTTAACCAAATAGACATATAGCAGCAAGTCTGTCAGTTACTGTTTCATTTCTACTCTTTGCATTTTTGTTTTTTTAGTTGCATGTTACACACATCAGTGATGAGGGTGTATCAGGGAAAGCTTGGACAAGCAAATAAAGATTACCTCTGGAAAGCAAGTTATGTGTCATCAATGCATAAGTTTCATAGGGTGTCATGTATTTCCGAATTTTCTCTGTATCATTCTTTTTCATCATATATTATAAGCATTATCTCTCGGTGAAATTACAGTATTGTACTTGTTCTTGAAGTTGATAACTAGAGTGCAATACAAAGCGTAATTTGGTCAATGATTGGTCTGAAAATAGTTAACTAGTTCACTTCCATACAACATCATCCGATACTAATTTGATAAAAATGTGACAATATTTCAATCAATTCACTACACTTGGTCAAGTGTTAAAGCCATAAAACATAAGCAACATGGTCTATAACTTCATTGTACACTATACAATCATGATCAAAATTCATTACTAATCAATTAATGGCAAGTCAGCACAAAATTCTGATTTCTGATAACAATTACTCCATCAAATGCCATTGCCATTTATGGAACATTATCAACGAATACATTAGGCACCAATGACATTAGTTTGATAATATAGTGCTGAGTAATGAAATGGCAGTTCGTGTTTAAACGAGTTTGTTTGCAGCCTCTGAGTTATAAGGGAGTGACAGAAAATGGGGGAGCCAACAAATACATAATAGTGTCAAGTAGAATGGTCAAATGGTTCTTCCTATTGCACACCCAAATGAACAAAATTTGGATCTTCGTATTACAATCTTGTGCCTTCCTTGTGCCGTTGTGGTAGCTCCGATCTCGGTTTGGCAACTTCCACAAATATGACCCTACCATCCAAAAACTGAAAAAGTGGTTTCTTTCTTATCAGTAATAAACGTAGTTTAAAACTTTTTTTATGTTAATTAAAAAAGATAACAAATACGAAAATAAAAAGATAACTAACATTTAAGCCTTAGAATACCAAGATAACAACAATTTAAACTCAGAGGGAGCACAATAGTTCCGGATCAGGTTTAAGGGATTAAAATAAATTGTCATCTACTGATCCTTTAGTTTTAAGTGAAGCTTATCTTGAGTATTTGACTGCATCAAATTTCTCCAGTATCAAACCTTCACACTTAATCAAATTTCATTCAGTTTCATAAATAATGCCGGAATATATTTTTAATTCATTTGGAAAGACAATCTAGTTTCTTGAATTTGCAGCATAAACGTCATCATGGTTATATTCTTATTCATAAAAAATTTAAAATCCTCCATTGTAACCAAGATAAGCCTTGGAGGCATTATAGAATTTAGTCAATGAATTAACACAAAAATATAACACCGTCAATCAACTTAATGGCAGCATTATACAAGCATTTTGACATGTAACTACAAATAGGAAAATCAGAAAAGTATGTCTTGCTTTTCACTTAGCAAACACTACAAATTACTCTCTTGAACAAGATAAACTTCCATTTATGTATCTGATCTTTCAAAAATATGAACACCATAGACAACATCATACCTTTCCATGCATTCCCTCAATAGCCTTCTGAGATTCTTCTTCATTTGCATAACGAAGAAAAGCAAACCCCCTTGGTCTATTTGCAATTCTGTCCATCACTAGCTTGACTGTTGTAAAGTTAAGCAAATATTTTAGAAGTAGAAAGTGTTACCAACAAATTGATAAGAACTGGCAAACAACTAACAGATAATTTTAGTCAAAAAGCATAATTGACAACGAGGAATCATCATTTTCCTACCTTCCACGAGTTGACCAAAATTCTTAAAAGCATTTCGCAAACTTTCTTCAGTGGTTCGAAATGATAGCCCTGAAAAGAAACAAGAAATAACATTTACGAAGTTATTGTCAAAAATTAAACGTATATAGAATCAAATATCAAAGAAATTCAAAACAAATTTTAAGAATTCATCCTAAAATATATGCATAAAAAGTAATGAATACAATCTGTAGACTGTAGAAAAATATGGCAAATGACTATTGATTGAATCAAGAGCAGTCACAGCTAGTATATGAGGGACAGATAGGTTCCCTACGGGGGGAAATGCTAACATAATCTGCAATAAAAGGTTTTTTAAAAAAAAAAGAGCCTTTTTTATGTTGTTTTCTTGATGAAAAAACAATTTTGCTAGACAATAACTTTATTTTAAAAACTTATATAAAGAACTAAAGATAATTCAATAGACACATAAAGCAGTTAATAGTTGAAACTAGAAGTATTATTGTAGTCTCGGATTTCATATAAATTGTCTCTTAACATCATTCCTCTTTCTTGATCCATACAAATTAAACAATATGATATGGACACTAAATAGAAGCTAGAGATACTGACCACTTTCTTCCATCACTACATTGAACTCTTCTGCACAACAAAACATTTAACAGTGCAAAATTTCCGCAATAACCGTAACAAAAAATGCCAGCCTTTCACCTCTGTTCAGCATCACACTATCACTTTCCTCCTAATCTCATTTACCAGTTAAACAATGATGGCACCACCATTGCAGCCACTAACAACATTCTGAATGTTTCCAAGGCTAAAATTCACAACTAAAACCATATTCTTTTTTTGTGTAATAACGAAACCATCCTCCACAATCCAACTCGCTCTCACCCTAGAAGTAACTAAAACCCTTTTCGCATCCTAATTTCCAATTTGCAATAACAACTAAAAACTGTTGATGTCGATCAACCCCGCCACCCAAAAGGGACGAGACACCCACAATTAATAAATAAAGCCGAAAACTTTATCACTCGTAGATCAATTTGGATAAATAACACAAAAGGACAGCAACAGGAGAAGAGTAAGAGTAGCTAACCACTGACATAAAGCTTAGTTGAAGGAAAAGGGGAAGTGGGTTTAGCAGTGAAAGATGGTGAGGTTGAGGATTCAGAAGAAGAAGGAGGGAGACACGCCAACACAGAACAACCACCTTTGTTTCTGAGGGGTGATGATGAGATTGAGAAGGAAGAAGAGAGAGAGGTTGTTCTATTTTTGGTTTGCGGACAATTCAGATGAAGTCTGTATCTTTTATGAAGGAAACTGAAAGTGAGAGCATTGTTTGTAATGGGTAATGGAGGTAGAGAAACAGCAGCTACCGTAACACCAACAAAGACCATGTTAGCCATTGCAGCTATTTCCTCAGCTATGCCCAACAAAACTGTAGTTTATATGGACCGGACCGAACCGGTTTTTTCTTACACCCTTGAATTATGGCTGTGTTTAAAATCGAACTAGTAAATAAAATATTAGTTGGATGTTTAGTTAATACATCTTTAAAATTATATAATATTGTAAAGAAAAGATAATGCAATTACAAGAAATTAAGATATGAAAATTATAATATTGGTTTAAATTGATTTTCTGCAGTAATCTTAGATTAATTAGACAGATTCTTCAAGTTATGAGAAGAGCTAATTTTAAATTTACCAGTAGAAAATCAGGTTTATTTGAAAAATAATTATTTTAATCTGATTTTTATTTTTTGTCATTGTTAGGATGACAAATGAAAAATTAAAAAAAAATCTAAAACATATTTCCTTGGAATAAATTTTATTACGTAAAAGTGATAATTTATGGAAGTGATAATGAATAACTGTCGTTATATCTTTTCTATCTTTTACTGCCGTCTTAGAATCCCTAACTGAATTTATTGCTCACAACTTGCGTAAATGCATATTACCCACTGCGCACAATCCTAGCCATAAAAAATACCGCGTTTTATCAAACACTTCATACAAAATCTGAAAGTTAAATACATCGATCGGATAGAAAAACTGCACCTTGTGCAGTTAAAAATCTAAAACTGTGCCAGATCCTCTCGTGCCGTGCCAGTGTGTAACCATGACACGTGATATTAACGATGTCACAATCAAACAGAACAAAACTTGCACTATGTTGCTGTGACACTGACAAGCCAAACTGCATAACAACAGCTCCATTGCCATGAACATGAGTTTGAAGATAAAGGGTATCAATAACTATCATTGTTCGCCTGCTATACTCTACCACTACCCTTGTCCTGATGGTGCTTTTGCTGCCCTTGCTGCACACCTTTACTTCAAGGCCACTTCCTTATTCACCCCTCTTTTCTTTCCCAACACTGTTTACAACCCCCTCAGGTTTTTTGCTTCATTCAGTATCCTCTTTTTGTACCCTTCATTCTGTTTTCAATCATTGTTTGCTATATTTGTGTTGCTATGCCTTTGGATTTATTTGTATGTATTTTTTGTCTCTGATTGCAATTTTCAGTGCTGAAGATCTTCCTCTGAATGAAATCAGTGATCTTTACCTATTAGATTTTGTGGGGCCGGATGGTTTTGTTCAGGAAATCTCCACCAAAGTTCCAAGGTGCTTGCTTTGTTCTCTGTTTTCCTTGTAAAAGGTGCATTTTTTAAATTTGTGTTTTTCTTAATAGGTTTGAGTTATCTTTGTTTGTTCTGTTTTCTTGCTGTAGGGTGATTGTTTTGGACCATCACAGGAGTGCCCTTGAGAGGCTAGGGAATGAGGCTTCAGTTGGGGAGAATGTGGTTAAGGTTATTGACATGAAGAGGAGTGGGGCTACTATTGCTTTTGATTACTTCAAAGATAAGCTTTTGAGTCCTGATGTTGAGGTTAAGCACCCCTCTGTGCTTCATGAATTTGACCGTGCCAGGCAACTTTTTCTGTATATTGAAGATGGGGACCTCTGGAGGTGGAGACTACAGAACAGCAAAGATTTCAGCAGTGGCCTGAAGGATTTGAACATTGAATTTGATGCCAGGAAAAACCCTTCCTTGTTTGACCAGGTATTTTGCTTTCTGTGTCTTTCATTTTTTTTTCTCAATTTTTCTGATTTATCATTACAATTTGCTTTGAATACCCCAACAATGAAAGAGTTCTTACCCTGTAACCCAATTATGGATTGTTATACAATTAAAAATGGTTAACATTTGCAAATAGTACATTAATAATGTGTTTTGATGAAAAACATTTAGAGAAAATTTTATTTTTCTTGAGAATTTGAAATGTTTCATGATTAAATATGGTGTTTTGGATAGATAGTTTTAAAACAAATTGAAACTCTGAAAATTTATTAGAACAATTAATTACATAAAAGTATAAATTTCAAATTCCACCTGTGAAAAATTTGTAATCCTTCACAATTTATCCTTTGGCCAACCTTAAATAAGATTGTTTTCTACGAATGTTAAAATGTCAAAATGTTTTCTTAAATATTATTTAATGTTAAAATAAATTTTTATATTTGATGGTAATTGAAGTACTCTAACTTAATTTGAATTGAAAACAATTCAAATTCAATGGATTTTAATTTCTTTGAAATTGTGAAATTCACTATCCAAACACACCGTAAGAGTAATGTTTAGGATGATCTCTAATTGATTGACAATGTGAAAATCCTTACACTAGCTGTGTTTCAAAATTAAACTCTTATTATTATCATTATTAATGTTATATGAGTATCTGTTGTCTAAATTGAACATGCAAATTGGTGAGTTGCTAAGTGCATGAAGCTATGAAGATGCTTTGCTCCCCTGTTTTGTCCTGTAAATTTGTCCATGAGTTCATTATGGTGATTCTACTTTATAAGGTTTGTAGACACTTTACTCTTGGTTTTGCAGTAGTTGGCATTAATTTCTCTGTCTTTGGGGTTATAGTTATTTGTTTTCACACTTAATTTTGCCACGAAGATAGTGAAATCAATAGACATTATTATGCCCCTCTTTAGTATAAGTAGTTTAAATAACTGACAGTTTTTGTATTATGGCAGTTGCTTTCATTAGACTTGAATACTATCATTAGTAGAGGCATGCTAAGCATATCAATCAAGCAAAAATTAATTGATAATGGTCTCAGCAAGTCATATGAAATCGCCCTCGGGAATGGTGCATTTGGTTATTGCCTGGTATGGTTGATTGTTTCTTCTTCTAAGATCTCTCTATTTCCTCCCCTACTTCCCTTCTATGCCTTGGTTTTGCAGTCAAATTTCTTGAAACCATCCATCTGCAATTTTGGTTATTCATGCATTGATGCTAGTTTTTAATGCTTACATTGAATCTTGGTTGTAGAAAATCCTGTTTTCAACTATTTGTATTTTGTAGGCTGTCAATGCAGATGCTACTCTTTCACTGTTAAGAAGTGAATTGGGACATCAATTAGCTACTAAAAGCCAGAAAATGAAGTTGAGGTTTGTTCGTTTTATTTTCTTATTATCACTACTAGTTAAATCATAATGCTCTTATGCTCTTTTTATCCCTAACAAACCTGTAAGAAGAATATTAATGTAATGGCAAAGTGTTAATTTGGTTGAGTTTAGGAATTAAATCATATGACAACAAAAGAATTTCCAGTATCCACAATGCCTAATGTTATTGCACAAGTGGCAGCAATTGTTGTAAAGTTAGAGGCTATGTGTGATAGAAGAGAAAAGGTGGAAGTGAGAGAGGTAATCATTTTGGTGCTTTTGGGATGACTAGTGCCATAGGACACAAGTTTTCCTCCTCTGATTTGTTTATTTTTCATTCTCAACTTCTATACTTTCTGCATGTTACCCTTGTATCAGATCAATGTTCTCTGAATACAAAGCTGTTCATACAATGTGTATAGAAAATTAAAGCATGTAACTGAACCACCTTGCAAAAAGAAGTAGGTTAAGATGATGAGTGTCCCTTGATTAGTGGAGAATCAGCACACAATATCTGTAAAATACTATTTTTTCATTGATATCTTATCTTTGTTAGCACTTTTTTACTTGTAGGGGTATTGGTGCTGTTGTGTATGAAGTACCAGAGCTTGAAAATGACCAAAGGCTAAAGATAAGTTTGAGGAGTGTGGAGAATGAAGATACCATTCCTATCTCTCAGGTTGTTGCTTTATCAAATTGCTAAGTGCATCTTCTCTGTGACTCTTGTTAGTTATACTTGTACTTAATATCTTCTTCCCTTCTGTTAGGAATTTGGAGGTGGTGGACATCGAAATGCAAGTTCTTTCATGTTAACAGCTGATGAGTTTGAAGAATGGAAGGTGTGATTGGATTTGTGCACTTGACATTGGGTGATGAAGGAGTTCACACATGATGATCTTCTGTATGCTGCTCACATTGGAAAGTGATGTGAAATGTTTAGATAGCTCTATCAGCCACTGTATTATGCAGACTATTTATTAGTTATCATGTAGTTTTTCATTGTTCTCTTATGTAATTTCAAACCATGTTTTTGAATACTCTAGGGATTTCGTTAGATTTTTCAAATTAGGGATTTACCTATGAAGGGTGAATAAGGAGTTTGTAACAGTCAATGAAGGTGAATTAGGCCAAAGCTCTAAACTTTTTCTGATTTTTTTTTATTCATGTAAACTTTAAAAGTTAATGAAAATATATAGAAAAAATAAAAGATAATATATAATGAAAGAACTCAGATAAGTGCCCTTGAAATCAAAATTCAAGATCCAAAACGAATTTATCATATTTGTACTTTTTTTTTTCAATTCACTCTGAACCCATCCAATTATTTTTTATTGGTTTGATTCAGATTCGATGGGTCATGAGATTGATCCTCATCCGTGTCCACCCTTGAATTAACCAATCAATTTACAGTGAAAAAGGTATCGCAGGTGTGGAAAAGTGCAATCTTTCCTCATTTGGACAGTTTTAATACTTCTATTGTGGATGGATATGTATTTAGCGTTTAGGGTTTCTGAGATCGATTTCTTGAAATTGTAACCATCTTATCATATTCCGAAACTCTGAATCTGTTCATACAATGCGTGTAGAAAATTAAAACACGAAACTGAACTATGATCCAGAAGAAAAAGGCTGAGATGATTGAAGTCCCATAATTGGTGGAAAATCAAAACAGAATTCACCAAATCATCTAAAGATTCTTTCGTTGGATTAAAATTTTCTTAATGTTAGTCTTGTTCATGCAAAATCGTAGCATTTAGAGATCAATTGGCTTCAAAGTTACTTGGCTAAACACTGTGTGTCTGGAATTTTGATAAAGAAGCATTAGCATAGTTGATTATGCACTTAATGAAAATAATTAACACTTGAGTTGTGATTTATATTTATTCCACAAATAACACCAAGATCACCTCGAGATGGAGGTTAGTACAAAAATGTATAAAATCAATGCAATAATATGATCCTAAATAACAAGCCCACCAAACCAAAAACAAACCAAACCAGCCTCACCAATTAAGTATAATAATAATCAGAAAAACAAAAGTTAAATCTCTTAATAACAGTTATATGGCAAAGGTATAAATATTTTATTATATGATGAAATGTATATATATTTATATTTATATCCGACTCCCAAGTTATTCACCACCAATCTGGCCTGCCATTAGGTCTTCAAAATATTAGTTTGTAAATGTAACATGTGAGAGTTCTTCACCACCACCAACCATAGCTGCATTAGAAGAATACCATGCATCTTCTGTAATGAACTGCATCCATGAATCATCTTTGTCTTCCTCTTCAAAGCATGATGATGATGCCCCTGGTATGTCAGGAGACATGGTTTCACACTCATTAATTATGGTTTGGGAGCTCTCAATTAGTGATATACTACATTGTCCTTGCTCTTCAATCTCGGAACAGATTCCATTTTTCTTGAACACACGGCACAATGCATAAGTGTCCTGCAAGGTAGTTAACAAGATGGTTAACTAGTGTTCTAAAGGAACTTCATTAGGACTTTTGTTGGTGACACTTTTCTCTTTTGGATTTATATAAACTATTGCAGCCTAAAGTAACACAGAGAATGATAGTGTAGGATTTTCCTACCAATTATTGCTTTGGGTCTTTTAGCCTACATTTGAAGTGATCAACTAAAGCAGTTAGTCAAAAATTGAGGCATAAAAGAGGTTAAAACCATAAAAGACAATCTCTGAACAAGCCTGTGGCATAAAGATTCAAAGAGTGCTAAATGTTCTATCCATGTTTCTTATTAAGAATATTAATAATGCTGCTTCTGTATCCTAATCAATCAAGTGGACACTTTTAGGTTATAAAAGGGTGGAACATATTGTATGAGTAGTGATATTTTGACAACCAAAAACTATACAACTCTTCAAATAATTCACTTTTATTAATATAATAATTTATAGACAGATTTAATAAAAATAAAAATAAAATAAAACTATTATTATAATATTAAAACAGAGTTGTTTACAGAAATTATATGGATTTAGATTTTCAAAGTATCATTTTCCATCTTTTATATGCTAACTTCATTGCTAAATTCCATGCCATAATCATCATGCCCTGATTGGTACATTCTGTCTTAAGACATTTACTTAGAACGAATATTTGGTTGGTACAATTGACTGGTACCGTCCCTCTCCTTTATATTATTTTCATTATTTGTTAATTTTCTGGGGTATAGTACAGTACCTATTGGTCAGTTTCGGTGTTTAGGAATAAAGTAAAAAGTGACCGACACAAAATGAAAGTGATGGAAGAACTGTAGCTGCTTTATGAGATGCACAAGCCTTCATGGCTTATATAGAATCAAATAATTCTAGATCAGGGGAGGAAGGTTGAACAGATAGTAATGACAATTGACAAAAACACCAATAACGAAAAGAATTTTAATCAAGAAGGGATATGGATCATGAGGAGGATAGTACTTTTGGCTCATTACGTTACAGTATATTATATTGTACATCTATTAATATAAAAGAAAGAACAAGGTGCACTAGAACTTTGTCATTTTGGAGGTATTAGAGTAACACAAGTAAAGAATATGTCAGCCATAAGTTTATAGAGTACCTACAATAAACAAATATAAAGTAGATTGAGAGAGAGAGAGGAGGAATAAAGCTCCTAGAAAAGTGCAGGCTTTCCATGCACGCCATGCAATTTTCACGTTCTTCTACTGTCCAAACATGTACAATGTCTTATGAACTTCAGTTATTTCTACTGTTTCAAGTTCTATTCTCACTGTGTATCTGATTATCTGATCATCATGGGAATATGGAACTAAAGCTTATCTGTCTTTTTTTTCTCCATCTTGTCTTTGGTGTAAAAGAGGGGCTGAAAATAATCAATGAAAAATGCTTTTGTCACTCCCTTAAGCATCGAACTTCTTGCTTTTTAGTTCAAATATGTGATGACAAGTGTGCATACTGCACACACAAACAAAAGAGAGTTCTGAAAGTAGGTAAAGGGCAAAGTGGGCACTAGAGGCTAGTTTTAAAGACAACAAAAACATTTACTTTTCTAAGATGTGACTTGTAAAGCTAATTTGTAAGGTGTAACTTACTAATTCGCCACACTCATGTATCCCTCCACCTGCCATCACCTAATTCTCCAAGGCCTTAAAATCATCTCCAGTTCTAACTTATTTCACTATTGATTGCAGTAAGTTAGAAGTCAAAAGAATTTAAAGTGGTTAACTACTGATTTCATAAAAGGAGTTTTGACTGCCTTGTGAATATGTTCAATATGACATGACAGAGTGACTACATAAGTTGTATGATTGGTGGTAATACCTTTTTTTTAGAGATAGTCATTTTCAAACTTAACTAAGCTAATATGACTTGATTATGAAAATTGATGACAATTCATGAATAATACTAAAGCTACTTGTACACCTAAAAACCCAACAAGCAATTCTAACATGAGCATAACACCCATTAAGCATAACTATTTAAATACTCAAGATAACATTAAAATAAGTGCAACACGGACTTCATAACTTTTCTCATTTATTATTTTAATTTATCTTGAATTTGAATTGTCATTTGTTTTGTATAATAGGTAAGCAGTAGATAGATACACTCATCACATTGTTCTTTTGTCTTATTTTAATCACATATACAGAGCTTTGCTTTTCAGTGCTAACAGGTACATATATTGAAAATAATGTTCTATGGACACCAAATGCAGTGTACACTATGAGAGATAAATACACGGAGATGAAAAGAATGACAATGTGATACCGATAAATAACATGATATGACAGAAAGAAATATAAGAGGAAAAAATGATAATGTCAAACTGTTAAAATGTCTATGTATCATTATTGATACATTAATATTGGTTGAATGTGTATATATACATACGTATATACCTGTAATCCAGTGGTGTCTTCACACTCTTTGTCATCAAGGCGATACTCATGCATTACCCAATCAGTTCTGATCCCTTGAGGAGCTCTGCCTCTGTAGTATACCAAAGTCTTCTTCATGCCAATGGGTCTGCTTTGGCAGGAAACTCTCCTGTCTTTTCCAGTGGACTTCCAGTACCCTGCGCGAGTTGCTCTATTTGTTCTAAACCCATTCGGGTATTTCCTATCCCGGGGTCCAAAAAAATACCACTCTGGATCTCTACTAGGTAAAAATGATTTCTCTATCCATGCAAAATAACAAAAAATGTTCCAAAATCAACCAATTAGTTAAACAACTTTGCCCAAATGAAAATGTAGGTCAGATATACTGCATTAAATTGATATTCATTGCCTAATAGGATGATACATATATGAAGAAGAATGAAAATAAAACATATGCATGATCCACCAAAGATATTGCAAGTCAGGTACTATTTTGGGGGTAGAGTTTTTTCATATAGATTACTTATCCTACTGAGATGGTTAAATATTATAACTAGATAAAGGGTATACACATGTCCATCGGGATCAACCTAGTGATGAAGAGTTTGAGTAGTTTAAACAAGGTTTTAAATTTCTTTGTCATCATTGTACTCATAAATTGTGAATGTGCGAACACAATTTCTAGCATGATATTGTTTGAACGTGTGAGAGATAAAAATGTGAATGTGCAAGCCAAGTATGAGTTATAGGTACTTAAATGGATGAATGAAAAATAGGAGAAACAAAGTATTTGGAAGAATTGAAGGGCAGTTAAAGGGAAGAAGAAAACCTGCTAATTCCCAAGGTTCACATTTGTAGAGATCAACTTCAGGAATGATATCAAGTTCAATTTCTTGGCCATTGATCTTCCTCTTGAGATAGTAGTTGACAAGCTCTTCATCGGTTGGATGGAACCTAAAGCCAGGTGGTAATCCAACCGGTGACATTTTTCTCTTCTTCTCTTATTGTAGCTTCTGCTAAAGTGTTTTCACTCATCAAAACCATCATGGCTTATAAATAGACCAAAAGGAACCAAAGTTCCTTATCTTTGAGTTTTTTTTCTCTTTTTCTTTTACAGATTTTACAGATTCTGGCAAAACGTTTGATACAAGCCTTTTCCCTATTACTGGTAATATATACTTC